CCCCAGGAGGTCCTTGAGATGATTCCGGATCTGCTGGTTGGTTACTGTGATGCCAGCTATGCTGGAAGCATCAAGACCAGCGCCAAATCCACCTCAGGCTATCTGTTCACGTTTGCTGGGGGCGCTGTCTCCTGGGCATCCAAGCTGCAGACTGTTGTGGCTCAGTCTACTGTGGAATCGGAGTACTACGCACTCTCTGAAGCCGTCAAAGAGGCTGCCTGGCTACGAGAACTGATGCTGGAACTTGGTTCCACTCTGAATGCTATCAACATCCATTCAGACAGTGCTGGAGCTATTAATTTGGCTCAGAACGCTGAATCCTATCGTTGAATTAAGCACATTCGAGTCAGGGAACACTACATTCGTCAGGAGATCTTGGAAGGCCATATACGGCTCTCTTTCCTTGGAACCAATGAAATGCCTGCAGACGGTCTCACCAAAGCTTTGACAAAGGCAAGGTTCTTTAAGTTTCTAGAGTTGCTAGGACTGGTTCATGTAGAGGGGTGATATTCTGGTTATGTTAATTCCCTCAGTCTGAGAGGGCGTGTTGGATTCTGGGCTACGTTAGCCCATCCATAGTCATCCTTCAGGATCACCATCCCCATTTGTGACTCTGTCACATACGTGGCCAATATAAGGCCACGTATCCTTTCCTTTAGTATCTTGGATATATATAGGGCCATTCTGGCCGCTCCAGAGTAGCTGGAATTCCTCTCCTTAATAGAACACTTTGAAATCTAACAAGTCTGCGTTGACAAAGATGTTGACGGCATCGTATTGAATGAGCTCAAGAATGAAGCGGGCTGCGATTGCTATGAGGGCTCTGAAAGATCTGCCTACGAGAGTTGATGCGTAGGTATCCTCATATATGTTCTTATTCAGCTAGTCAACGCGAACCATGAGGTGTGCTTTGCACTTGCTCAGGAAGCTGTACTTGTTGAACTTGTACTTGTATACCCATATACAGTCCAGGATTTGGTGTCCATTTGTTGCTGACTTGTCAGTGATTATTCATGATCCTATTTCATTGTGGCTGCTGATGTGGTCAACCTCGGCTTGACGTCATTCGGCCCTATAGAGATGGTCCTTGACACCTTGCCAGTTCTTTGGCTCTGGTGGTAATGATCGTTGATGTATCTTTCTTACTTTTGTAGGTATCGAGGCTGGGCCGTGATGATTTCCTTGGTGTTATAGTCTCTCACCAGGGCGAAAGCCGTAGGTTCTGTACTTGTTATACTTGGCTTTGCTCACTGGCCTGCCATCTATCAAACTAACAGGATTGGCAATGCGTCCAGTATTGAACGCTGCTTTCTAATTCCCGTGGTGATTTTATATGGCCTGGGCATCCCCAGTTGAAGGTAACGAGTGGGCAGTTAACCCTTCTCCTGCTCGTTAGGAGCATGATGCTCTGATCTGGCCTTTCATAGGCTCCCTGATAATAGCAGCCAGCAGTGCTGCCGCAGGTAAAGGAGTGGGTTCTAGGGTCAGGTATGGCTCAAACACGGCAGATGTATAAGGGTGATCAGTCCCTTTGTTACTATTTGTGTTGGCTTTGTCCTTGGTATCTTTTTTGTACTATTATCACTCAGGTCTATCTCATCTTTGTCTGGGTGCTCCTATATTAATCTGCTAAGATCTTTATCTTTTTAGTACACTGGAATGTCCTCTAAAAAAATTCATGATACCTTGTGTCTATTTAGAAATAGTGTTAGTTGTTCTTTGCTAACATGCAGGAGGTCGTCCTTGAGGTCGCTCAAGTCTCCAAAGAACATCTGGTCCTCGTCTGCTATCACATCACGCATAGCGTGGACCTTGCTGGTTAATAGGTTCTAGACCAGATAGATATTGGTTGAGTTATATCCTGTGACGGCCTGCACGGACCTTCCCACATGACAAGCCGATATTTCCCAAAAAGAGAAGGATCTGGACAGAGGATCCTTTTAAAGGGGCAACCTCCCGCTGTACCTATCTCCCCTCTCTTCCTTTCTTCTCTAGTCTTGATATTCTCGTTAATAGAGTAATAGCTGCTTACTGCCGGCCATGTCCCAGCTCCTCAGTACGCTCACCGCGACAGTGTTCGTTATATGTCAATAATCAATCGGGATCACTGCATCCTTACTAGTACATTTTCGGAATCGTGACACCTGGCTTGGTTGACGGTCGCCTAGGTGTTCTGCGTGTCTGTTTCTTGATTTTGGTCTTACCACACCCGTCACACTGAGCAGTAGAGGGACCTTTGATTCTCACTTCTTTAATATGCTTTGTGATCTGTGCGATTATTTTGGGGCCAGGATGCCCTAATTGCCAGTGCCAGAAGTTCTTCTCACCCTTAATTAGAGCTCTTTCTGTTCTTGAGTTGATCATCTTCCTCTGCAGGGCAAAGGACGCTTTGGTTTTGCCTAGGGGTATGTTCTCTACGACCCATTGCCCAAACTTATCTATGTGTTTGAACACCACTGAATCATCCTTTTGTCTGACGTAATTGTTAGGAGGTTTATTATCCCAGTAGTATTCAAGCTTTTTAAGCTGCCGTAAAGATACGAGGTTTGCCGCAAATTCTTCAGGGAAGGCAGTATTCCGTAGTGTCAAGATGAATGGCCCTAGTGAGTCATGAGCAGTGATGTCTATTTCTCCCTATCCTAGGATTGGTATGAAGGTGTTCCCTTTATCCACTTTATCACCTGTTGGTGCTCTGTAAAAGTTATTAAAGCGAGTGATAACGTTGAAAATATGTAAGGTTGTGCTAGAGTCAAGGATTAACGAGTTGAGTAAGGGGTCAGGGGCGGTTACGTAGGAGGACTTCGTGTTATTTGCTAGATAAGATATTGTGTCTTTTTTTGCATGCGTTGGTACATGTTGTACTCTCTCGCCCTTTTTCGCGCGTTAATTGCGCGGTGTGTGTCTTAGAAATTTGTGCCACTTTGTTAGATATATTATTGTCCCTTTCAAGCAGTATCTTGACTATTTGCTGCATACTGTGATGGACTTCCCATCCATTTAGTCGCTTGTTTAAGAAGAGGTAAAAGCACTCTGTGAAGTAGTGCCCTTTATAATGGCATCCCTTGCATGTTTAAGTGGTTAAGGGAGCTTCTTCGTCGTCTCGACCCCTTTTGCCAGAAGCTCCCAGACTTCCTCTTCTGAAACCTCCTCTTGATCCCCCTTGCTGTCTCTGGTTGTTGTTTCTACCACTGCGGCTTCTGTCTCTAGCGTTTGATTGCTTTTAAAGATGCTCCTTTTCTCTCTCGTCTCCAGTCGAGTCCTGTATCGCCAGGCTGTTGCTGTTCTCCGTGAAGGGCTGGGAAGCCCGCTTTCCATCCTTTTGAAGTATTAGTGATGGCGCTTGTTGTTATCCAGTCGTTGTGGAGGTCAGAAGCTATCTGGCAGTACAAAATACTGTCTTTAAACACTCTTTCCTTTTTCTTTGCCCTGGCTTGAGAAGATCAATTAGAGTTCATTAAGGCGACAGCAACTATAAAGTCATCAAACCAGGTTGCTGGAGATAGAGCCTTAGGGACCCTGGCTTTAATAGCCCTGGTTATAACCAACTCCTACTCTTTAATCCAGCTGATGAAATCCTTCTCTTTCTTTTCTGCACCCCTTTGTTGATTATTGATATAATGGCACGGTAGTCGACTTGGGCCTGGTACATAATATTCTCACTGTAAATGGCTCCTTTAGTTGCAAGCTCTTGGTACCACTGACAAAGGTTTCATTTAGGGAGTAGTTTGGTCTCCTGTATGGTAGGATTGACGGTTTTGAGAGTCCACTTGATGAGTTCGGATATGGAGGCCTTGGTTTGCTGATTGATCTTGTCTTTGTGCTTGAATAGGGCGACATTCATTTTGAAGTCAGTTGCTCTTTCTGTTGTAAGGTGTGAAGCGAGGACTCGTCCCTCCTCCACTGCTGTTTGAGCGGTTCTGGTAGGCTTCTTTAAATACTCTTCTGATAGGATATCCGGAGGTATTGGTGTTGTTGGCCATGATCGCCTTATTTATGGTTAAATAAGATTTTAAAAACAAGGAGTACTATTAAGAAACATCCTGTAAACAAAGGGACCATTCGTGTATGTATACATGGCCTCCGCGCCTCACTAGTACTGCACCTTTCTGCAGAACAACATACTATTTACCCCCACACCACTCCCCAATATGGTTGGCCTTTTACCAGATACACCCTCCAGTCCAGAGTAGAGGTAGTGAAAAGACTAAACGGTCAGGCGACTCGGAATGAGCGCGCTGTTAATACGATCAGTTCAAGGGGTGATATAAGTTTTGAGGTTCCAGAAAGCAAGTGTGAGGACCCCTGAGAATGTTCCTACAGAACATTGTGCCAACTAAGATGAGCTACCTAGTTACTTGTCAATCCCATAAGTAGCTACTTGTGTAAATGCATCAGATGGTTAACTGACCTCGAGGGCTACGCATTGGGGGCGGTAGGTATATTTTCCTTCTCCTGCAACAACAGTCCCGTGGGGGATGTTAAACATACATGAACACCATCGATTTCTTATCGATATAACCTCATGGCATATTGACTACTATACAGTCTGATCTGTCCTTCCGCCCCGGCCGTCACGTGAAGCCGAGCAGACGAAGGTCTCGCTGAAGACATATTAAGCAGAGGCGTTGAGGTTGAGGGACAGGATCAATTGGGTTCAGTCATCAGACACGAAGAAGGAAAAAGCGAACGATTTATATGAAAAAATCATCAATTTGCTCAAGGCTGCGGCAGAGCCTGCTATGTCTTTCGGGTATCATGACTGGTCAGGTCAGAACGATTATTGCGAGGCAGGTCAAAGTAAACTCACTTTCATCATCATTCGTGCTCCCTAACCCAACAATCGCCCTGCAAAAGTCCAACTGAGTCTCCTGGAGGTTTCATGTCACTAGTGCACCTGACATGTGCTTGGAATAACCAAACACTGTGATCACCCTCTCTGCTTAGTCCAAATGGCCGGCAGCTTCCGTCATAGGCCCCTTTCTGCACAATTGAGTGTACGATCATTCGGTGCGCGGTCGCTTCGATTCGGTATCATCAGCATCATCATGGCTATTTGCGCCATCTTTCTCAGCTTCGTCTCGATCACGAACCCGGCCAGCACCCTCCCCGAGCTCACCACTGATACCATCCTCACCATCCTGGCCGTCTTGACCGCCAATCCAATTACCGTCTGCGTCGGAATACTGGTCCACGTTCTCTGCCGTGATCCAACCCGAGCTTCCAGGCATGGGAGGTGGCAGGCCGCCAGTGCTGTCGCCCAGCAGTACCCCAGGTAGCCCGTCGACGGCTGCTCCGTGCTCGGCGCTACCCTCAAATATGATGCGGTCCGCGCTGTCTTCCTCCTCATCTTCCTCATCGTCGCGCGGGTCGGGGTTTAGGTTCGAGCAGGACGATATCTGGTTGAATAACGCGTTCGTTCTCTCGGCATTGAGGGCGTCAACGGTAGATGATTCGGGGTTGGGACTGTCTTCGGACAGTGGCTTGTAAGGGACAAGCGTCAATTCGATCGGGTCGAAGCTCTCATCGTCGTCTGCGCCGGCGCCTGCAAACTCGAGCTGCATGTAGACTCCAAGAAAGTTGGACGCGGCATCGTCGGGCTTTTCTAGATGACTGAAGTTCTTGATCGCGTGAAGGGTGACGGCGGGGTAGGGTATCTCGATGCCGGTACCGCTCTTGTGGGAGAACAGGATCAGCTTGCTATGACCCGAGTCAGCACTGTTTCGAAGCGCACATGGCAGGCAACAAGACGTACCTAGATCCGACGAATACCTCGACCTTCTTCTCCTCGCGCAGATGCGTGCCTCCATTGTTCTGGAGCGCTTGCGACTCGGGCGAGCTCGGGTGGACGCTAGCATCGTTCTCTGCGGAGGCCTTTGAGAAGAAGTACAGGCTCTCGTATTGTTCCTCGGAAACCCAGGCCTTGATGTTCTCGTCGTGGTAGTACAGAATAGGTTTGCCGTCGAAGAAGGTCTCGGGTGTCTGGTCCTGGTACTCGCTCAGAGGCTGGAAGTCACCGTCTGCCGAGGGACGGCTCTTGATGACTGTGAGAGACATGGTGAAAGCTTCCGACAAATATACAAGATTCGGGGTTCGCCAAGTTGATTGAGATGTCCTCAAGAAGTCGTAAGAGGTAAATGCAATCCAATGTTTTGTAAATAAAGTCACTGGAGCTCAGGTTAGAAGTCGAATCCCCAAAAGTTCGTCGCGACATTGGTGGTGGGGCTTATCGATAAAAGCTCCTTATCTTATCATCGTGCAGCTGGCGCCCAGCCTCTGACAGTCGGCAGAGTACCTTCCCAGGTGTCTCGTTCCAACAACCGACGAGTCGAACGCGTCAGACTCGCTGTGTGTTCGGAGGGAGGACTTTCAAAGCCTTTGTCTCGGAGGGACTCCCAGTGGATATACGGACAATGGTCTCAATGCGCGACGACCGTAAGCAATTCCTCGCCCTTGTTCGTCGCGCAGTTACTCACATACATCCAGGCTCGCATTCGTACCTGGCGCAAGTGCCTCTGACGGTCTCGCCCTTCGTCACGCTCCCGACCGCCGCGACGCTCCCCTACACCTACAAGAGGATGCCGTCCACGCTCTCGCCGCCCGCGAGCGGCATCACCGGCGCCACGGACGAGAAGCCCAAGTACGTGATATCACAATCGGGGCACGCCGCGCACCCAGACGACATCGTCGCCTCGTGCCGCGCGCTGCAGGCCCACATCACCAAGATGCAGGAGGAAGCCGCGCGGGAGCTGCGGGAGTTGGACGACCGCATACGCGAGCGCGAGCTGGCCGAAAAGCGTAGGGTCGCCCCCGGCTGGCTGGACAGCGAGGCCCGGCTGCTGGAGCCCGTGCGGAAACCGGGGACTGAGGCCGAGGTCGCGGGCTCTTTCGCCGAGATGAGCCTTGCGGAGCGCGAGGGCGCAAGCGAGATGGCCGTCGATCAGGGGGAGGAGCTGGATCGTGCGTTTGGTGGCATGAGGTGATCGTTGGGGGATTCTTTGTTTCTGCATGGTGTTACGGTTGGGGGTGCATTGGGCGTACGGTAGTCCTCTGGCGTATAGGTGTGCCAGAGTACTTGCTTCATGAGTTTTAGAGATGGCAGGGGGGACTCTGGGATCCTACTCGCAGCTACGAAATTCGCCAGTCCGATGTGTATACCAGTTGAAGAACCAGAGTTGAAGTCATATCTTCTGTGTGGTCTTCGCTTGGTGCTGAGTCGTTCAATAGAGCCCCGTGTCATCTCATGCGGCATAAACAACATGGACGTTACCACCATCAGGAAGTTTGCTCCTATGTTTGTTGCCGGCCAAACATATATACACATGAGTTGAGTGACCCCAATGACTCTTCGTTTCCGGTGAGAGGCCTGGTTGATAGATCACCAAACAATCACCCATGGCCTCGCGCAGGTAGATATAAAGAGTTAGCTGCCGGCTGCCTATCTAGGTACCCTCTCATCCCTTCCTCAGGTCAAGACCGTTCTCGAGATTTCTAGAGTATCATTTGCCTCCCTATGCTTGCATGGTGGAAGGAACCCTGGGACAGCTTAGGTCCGCAAGCCGGGTCTGCATATTCAAGTACCTAAAATGTATTTTCTCCAACTAAAGATTCCACAGTTTCTAGAGTATACCGATATCTTATATGTACAAGTGGTGATTACCTATATATGAAATATCACAAAACAGCGAGCTCGGTCCACACCTTCACCAGTAATCCAATGATCAGCGGAAACCATAGGAACTCATAGTACATTTGCATGCATGTACCACAATTATGCTCCAGAGTGTCACCATACGGATACGGGATTCATAGCCTGCTTGTGTGCACCTACTCGCACGAACATCACACCTCCTCCCACGCTTCGGGTTGTTGCGTGCTGGTTACGCCCGCTACATGAGGAGGAAGCATGCGACAATCAGAACGACGTTTACATCGATCAACAAGAACGAGAGCCTTTCGATATTCAATTGGCATCCATCCTCGTAGAGGGCGTACCTTGTTCCCTGACCACGCTCCGAACAGACGAGAACATTGTGGATAAATTTCACCAGCTGAACAGGGAGACATGGTGCAACTTTCATTCACTACTCGACACACCATTGGATACATCCGCGATGACGTGAACATAAATCAGGATTACAACCATATGTAAACTGTGCGAGCTTCGAAGCCGTGCATATTAAACGGTTACCCACTGGCCACTCTGTCATATAGTTACCTGTTCAATTGAAGTGGTGGAAAATGGGCATAGTAGGTAAAAACCAACAAGTGGGTAGAACAGGTGCAAAGCGGAAATCCTGACGCGATGGATCATATATGTCGGCAGCTCGTATCTGTTAGATGCAAGCGAGTTCAGATTATTCAGGTTGTCAAGTGTGTTCTGTTGTTGTGCTTGTCATGCTCTGCTTCTTCAGCGTTGATCATCTGTCTTCTTGGTGGGTCAGATGCCCTGTGCGTCTCTGCCCCACTGGAGATCTTCCGGTGTCTATTTCCGGCTCCCATTTAACAGTATCAGGGGTCTTTGAGCCAATCGGCGATATTCGCCCGAAAAGAAGGGTATACGGTATCTACGAAGGCACATATAGGGTCTATAAAATGCCTATATGAAAAAAAAAGGCCAGGTTTTACCTATATTTTATTTTACCTCTTATTATACGATATTTAATTAATTGCTTCTTTTTATTTTTCAATATTATCTTTTCATAGTTTAAAACCTATTTATTCAAAATTAAACCGTTAAAAGTAGTTATAATAATTAATACTTCATACTTTTTTATTAGCTCGCTTATTGGATTGCTTACGCCTTTTTTATTCAATAGAAATCAGTCAAAGCTTAATATAATCTTAAGCAATAATTAAAACATATTTAAAGATCAAATCGACGCTTATATTATCGAATTTAAAGCTATGTAAATATAATATAATATAATATATTATCGATAGTAATCTAGTATCAATTCTAAAATTAAATATAAATTTACTTAATATTAGTTAAAGATTTATTTTAGCTATTACTTGACCGTTTAAAATTAGTAGTAAAATTATTACGTTATTCATCAATATTTATTATAAAAGTTATTATTATTATTATCTCCTTTATATTTTGTTTAACGTGCGCTATAAAATAGTTAACCTTTACGAGTTATCAATTTTATTATGTAAATTAGAGCCTTATTTAGTACGTTAAAAGACGCACATTTAACTTAACGCGTTTTATATTTGTCATATTATTTTACTTCCAAAGAACAAGGAATACAGAAATAGTGTTTATAAAAGCCATTAAATGAACTGAAAATCCGATTTATAATTAAAACACTTTTAAAAAGAAATATTATTATTATTCATACGCTGACCCGCCGTATGGACATCTTGGAGAGTCGTCCGGCATGCAGACCTCCTACGATCTATCTCCGTGTGATAAAATCCCGCAGGGGATGAAAACCCACACGCTACGGTCTAGTTCTGGCTTCGTTATGGTGCCGCCGCAGTTTGCTACAGTTGTATGTCATGACCTTCACCGCCTTGACTAACCTGATAGGGCGCGCATCCCTTGGCCCCTGAGACCTCTTCCCCCTCGTGATATTCCCCCTCCCCCTCGTGATATTCCCCCTCCCCCTTGTGATATCCCTACTACCATATCCCCCCTCTTTCTCTATTTTATCCGTTACTGCTCTATATCCTCTGCGGTCTGGCTCTTTGGCGCCTGTTGGGCCACCTCGCCACCGCTTAGCTTCCTTGCTAGTGAGAACATCCCCAGTAGCCCTAGTCTCAAAAACCACTGTATAAATTTTGGGGTCTCGTCCGGATCTGACAGTAAGCTCTCGAAGTCTCTCCTTGACCGCAACATTCTCGTTCCAAGAGAGGCTTGCAGTCTGCCTCTTTGGGCCGCGTATAGAGTGCATCGAACCGTCACATGGTATGCCGTCTCCTTCTCGCCGTAGTCGCAATGTGGTATAGCCTCTCCTGGCACTCTCCTCTGGAACAGGAAAGCCCTCAAGCCGATGGTCTCTGTCCGGACCTGGCATAGGGCAGACGCCTCGTGTTTCCGTAGTCTGTAGTAATACTGCGGGACCGCCCCTACGAACTTCTGTAGGAATTCTTCTTGAGCTGCCGGCGACCTCACAGCAACTCCCGTCTGGCTGGCTCTTGTGACGGCAACTATCTATCAACTCCTCCACGACCTCTCTAGTGCCTGTTCCGGGTGGTCTTTGCCCAGCCACTTTAGGATCGCCTCCTTCCGGTCCGTTAGGTTATCCTTCTGTGGGGACGCTGTTGCGTGGGGCGACCGCCAAGGCCGACCTCTCCCCCGCCTGCCGCCTTGCGCGGGTCTCCTTGCGGCTTCTATTACCGCCAACCTTGCGTCTCTCGCCCTCTCTTCCACCTTTCTTGTTTTGGCAGTAACGTGTCTACCGGCCTCTCCGTACATTCGACCTTCAAACGCCGCCACCCTCATATCTAGGTATGCGTCCAGCGGGGGACAACCGGTCTCTGTCTCCAGCAAATGTCGCGGCGTGGCTTTAAAGGCCCCTGCTACCACTCTTAAACACGCCGCTTGCGTGGTGAGCATCTTCTTCGCTAGCCCTCGGGCCTGGTTGCCCTCCAATGGCGTATGCCACGCCGTCGCGCCAAAGGCGATGGCGCTTTGTACCACTTTAGTGTATACCTCCCGGGCTCGCGCCGCGCTACATCCCCACGTGGAGGCTGCTATCCTGGTGAGGCCGAAGATCTGGCGTTCTATCTTTGCCTTCATCTCTTTTAGGTGCCTGTTCCACCGCAACTTTCTGTCTAGGTATACTCCAAGGAACCTAGCTGACGGTACCGGCTTTACCAGGACCATCCCATTTCGGACCGGATCCAGGATTTCTTCCCGCTGCCGCGTAAAATGTATAACCTCGCTTTTTTTTGCGTTGAACTGTATTCTGTGGCAAACCGACCACCTCTCGCATACCTGGTATGCCTCTTCAAGGACTTCGCAATTCCTCTTGGCATCCGGGTGGACCGCCAGCATGTTGGTATCATCAGCAAAGCCCACTACCATCATGGGCAAGCCTGCTGCTTCAAGCTCTTCATACAGTGTGGCAACATATAACAGGAAGAGGATGAGGGACGCTGGGGACCCCTTGGGGACTCCAGCACTCAACTCTTGGGCTGCTGACTCTTTTCTATCGAAAAGGAGCTTAGCTGACCGTCCGTTAATATAGCTTTTTATCCATCTGATAATCCACATTGGGTATCCCTTCTTCCACAGAATATGGCTGAGCCGCGTAAAGACGACGGCATCAAAGGCCCCCGTGATGTCCAGCTGCATCAGCGTGGCTACTGCGCCGTAGCTCCATCCTGTATGGACTGCTTTGACTACCATGCGGATCGCATGTTCTGTTGACCTACCCTTACGGTTCCTCATTTGGCCCTCGGGAAGGAGCCCGTGTGTCTCCGCTGCCTCTATCATACGGTTACCAATAACCTTTTCTATGACTTTCCCATGCAGCTAAGAAGCACGATAGGCCAGTAGGTGTCACGGGCTCCGGTACGGGCAGTATAGGTGATCGTATGACAGTTTATTCTCTACGGTTCTGGCAGGGTTACGGGTAACTCTATTGACAGGACGTAGCTCGAAGAGCTACAATTCGGGTTCGGGCGGGGACAGTGAAGATATTGTCAGTTCTCAGGTCCATATCGGTCCACCCGGGCCGCCCACAGCTGGCGCCCGGGGTCCCTCCACTTCCTGCCCATAGGCAGGGTCCAGCGCCGTGACAGTACTCCCCTCTCTAGGCGGAGCTCCGACGACGCGTCTAACAGGTTCACAGGCTTCCAGTTTATCCTCATAGCGGAGGTTCAGGTCCGGGCTTGTTCGGGTACCGGCGATGGAAGTTGTTAACAACCTCCTGTGCATTCTCGAGCCAGGCAGCAGGGGACTCCGTGGGCTCGTCGTATCCTTCCCACTTAATAGTATACTTCAGGTTAGGCCTTCCTCCACGTCCTCGGCGATCCCAGCGGGAATCAAGTATCTCCTCTACAGTCCATTCTTGCAGGCCGTTTACTTTGATGGGAGGCGGCGGTTCTTGCTGCTGTCCAGGCTGGGGGTCGGCAGAATCAGGGCGCAGCAGGTTTACATGGAAGACAGGATGTATTCTCATGGACGCAGGCAGCTTCAGGCGGTAGGCGTACGGGCTAATAGCCTTAGCTATTTCCCACGGGCCCAGGTTCTTCCAGTCAAGCTTCTTTTGGGGGCGGGCAGTCTTGATGTTCCTTGCGTCTAGCCAGACCTTCTGTCCGACGTAGAATCTGCGGGCAGGTCGGCGTTTCCGGTTGGCATACTCCTCGTGGCGGGCTTGGGCGATGCAGATCTCAGACTTCAGGTACTCGTGTACAGTGGCCATCTTCAGGGCGACCTCCTCGGCATCCTTGGCGGCAAGGCGACGTCCGGGTAGGGCAGGTTCGAATCCGAAACGGGGGTGATATCCATAATTCGCGAAGAAGGGCGTGGTCTTCAGGCTCTCGTTCAGTGCGTTATTGATCGCAAATTTGGCTAACGGTAGCCAGCGTACCCAGTCGTCTTGAAGGTATGATACGTGGCCTCGTAGGTACTGTTCCAGGAAGGAATTGGCGATCTCGGTCTGCCCATCGGTCTCGGGGTGGTAGGCGGTCGACAGCAGTGCGGTGATTCCCAGGCGTTTGGTCAGATGCTTCCAGAAATCAGATACGAACTGGGGTCCTCGGTCGGATACAATGGTTCTAGGCAGGCCGTGCAGTTTCCAGACATACTTAACATATAGACGGGCGACTTCTTCAGAATCGCAGGTTCCCTTACAATGGATGAAGTGCTTCATCTTGGTCAGGCGGTCGACGACTACCAGGATCGCGTCGTAGCCGTAGCTGTCGGGCAGGTGCGTGATGAAGTCCATCGAAATATCTTGCCAGGCTCTCTGGGGAATCGGGAGGGGTCTCAGGACTCCTTGACGGGCTTCTCTCGAGGCGGTAGTCCTCTTGCAGGTATGGCAATTGCGAACCCATCGTTCGACATAAGACAACATACCAGGCCAGTAGTATTCTCGGGACAGTACTTCGTACGTACGGGCTCGACCCATGTGGCCGGCGACAGGGCTAGCGTGGTACAGGCGCAGGAGCTCGGCGTGGAGTCCTTCGTTCGCAGGGACATACAGGCGTTCGCGGTAATACAAGTGTTCTCCGGACAGTTCGCACTCGGCCAGTGATATCTTGCGGTGGCGAGACTTCTTTTCTTTCAGAGCTCGGACGATCGACTGTAGTTCTTTGTCTGTGGCGTATCCTTGGTTGAAAAGGTCCTGGATCTGGGGAGGTAGCAGCGGTGTAGTCCTCTCGACGGGCAGTGCAGGCCGTGGTGGTTCCAAATCGGGCTGTGGTCGGTGGTCTGGAGCTCCAGGTCCACGGAGCTGGCTGCGAGTGATTGGGTACAGCTTCAGGATCGGGTCTGCGAATCGTACTCGCTTGACGGGGCGGGCTGGTTTCGGCACGGGTTCTGGGGCAGCAGGCACTGGTTCAAGAACCTCAGGAGTCTGTGGTGGAGTTGGCGGCAACTTAACGGGCTGGTCTTCCGGTTTCCTATCTATAGGTAAGAAATCGTCAAGGTTGGCTCTTTTCAGCACTACCTGACTCTGGTGCAATAGGCGTTCATCCCCCTCTTTAGGCAGGTCCTCTGACCTCCTGGTCAGAGCATCCGGCTTCGCTCCTTGCTTTCCGGGGCGGTAGACAATCTTGAAGTTAAAACGGGACAGGAATTCGGACCATCTGGCTTGGCGGCGGTTCAGTAACTTTGTCGTCGTGAAATACTCTAGGTTCCGGTGGTCGGTAATAACCTTAATCGGGGAACTCGTCCCCTCCAGCTCGGGTCTCCATTCTTCGAAGCAGCGGATAATCGCCAGCAGTTCCTTGTCGTAAATTTCGTAATTACACTCCGTCGTCGAGTGTTTTTTCGAAAAGAAAGCTACTGGCCTTAGGATTCCATCGTCCCCATACTGGGACAACACTCCGGCGGACACGTAATCAGACGCGTCGGTCTCCAGGATGATATCTTTTCCCCAATCAAACGGGGCCAGGACAGGCGCTGTCGTAAAAGCTTGCTTCAGGCGGTCAAAGGCAGTCTGGCAGGCCGGGTTCCAGTGGAAACGCATTCCTTTTCTCGTCAGGGCTACCATAGGGGCGATGATCTTCGAGAAATCCTTCACGAAGCGTCGGTAAAAGTTACTGAATCCGATAAACGCTTGGACGTCTGTCAGGCAGGACGGGGTTTGCCAGTTCTGAATGGTCTCGATCTTCTTCGGGTCCATGCGAATCCCATTCTTCCCGACAATTACACCCAAGAAGGTGGTCTCATCCTTGAAGAATTCGCACTTCTGGATCTTGGCATACAGGCCGGCTTGTCTCAGGGACTCTAATACCTTGCGGACGTGGTTCAGGTGCTCTTCTCGAGTACGGCTGTAGATCAGGATATCGTCTAGATAGGCAGTGCAAAATACATCTAGGTACTCTCGCAAGGTGTCGTTCATGAACCTTTGGAAGGTTGCGGGGGCCCCAGTCAGTCCAAAGGGCATCACCAGGGACTCGTACAAGCCAAAGCGGGTACGGAACGCGGTCAGGTACTCTTGTCCTTTCTTCATGCGGATGTTATTGAAAGCAGACACGATATCGATTTTCGTGAAGTACTTCATTCCCTTCAGGTTGTTCAGCGATTCCTTGGTCAAAGGCAGCGGATATCGGTCCTTAACAGAGATGTTGTTCAGTCCTCGGTAGTCGACGCAGAAACGGAGGCTTCCATCAGCCTTTTTTACGAACAGGACTGGGGAGGCGGCAGGCGACAAGCTGGGACGGACGAACCCCTTGCGCAGGTTCTCTTCCAGCCATTCCTTCAGTGCGATCAGCTCGTTGCGGGACATTGGGTACAGTGGTCCAAATGGGGGCGTCTTGCCATCCTGCAGGCGGATATCGTGATCATAATCCCGGTGCGGGGGGAGTCTTTCGGCTTCCTTGGGTGAAAAGATGTCGGCATAATCCTTTAGTTCCTCGGGCAGCAGGTCTCGGGGCTCCGGCGGGCTGGCATTCTGCAGGTACCGGTCGATATCATTGATCGTAACAGTAAAAAGCTGGCAGTTCTTTCGGCTGTACATCGTACAGGCTCTTAACGATACTCGGGCAATATCTAGATGCTGCAGCTCAGCCGGTCGGGGAGGCAAGTTGTGCGGTCGGGCCTTGGCAGGGACGTCATGCAATGCTCGGATCTTCGTCGGGCGGGCGGGAGTATTGCAGTGTTTCCGGCAGTATTCACTATCAAAAGTAAAGGTATGGCAGGCGAATCCGATCTTCGGGTCGTGCTTCTTTAGCCAGGGCATTCCCAGAATAACGGGGTAATGGGCCAGTTGGGTCACGAAGAGCTTGATCTCTTCGCAATGGTCTTCAGTTCTCAGTCGGGTCTCGATATAGTGGGTGATCATTCCATTCTCGGCGTTTCTTCCATCGAACACTTCTAATCCGAATGGTCTCTTTAGTTTCCTCAGGGGTAGCTCGTGGCTCGCGGCCCAGCTCTGGTCTATGAAGCCTTTTCCTTCGGCTCCGGTATCGGTCATGGCGTAAGTCGGGAGCGCCTTGCTTCCTAACTCCAGGGTAACAGGTAGAATCATCAAATGGGACCTCTGATCCGTTTCTTCTTGGACAGAGACTCCCTTGGCGGCGGCAGCAGATAGTCGGACGGTGGCAGCGGTTCTCGGGCGGCGCTCTTTCTTGGGAGCCTGGGTGCGACTTAACCCAGACTCGCTCCATTTGTCGAGCTCGGTGGGCTGGGAGGCGGGCTGACAGATCGGACAGGATCAGGGCTATCGAAACGGTGGACATAGCTGGCACGGAATTGACGAAGTTGGGACGAGGGGCGAGTATCAGGTTCGGGGCAGGCAGCGACGCGATGACCCTCTGAACCGCAGCGGAAGCATTCTCCGCGCTCTTTCCTTCCACCGGGGGCGAATCTTTTCTGGGAGCTCAAGTCCATAGGCTCTCCTCCGTTGGCGACGGGCGAAGCAGGTCGGGGCGCTCTCCATTCTCTCTTGGGCTGGTCCGGGCTCGGGTTCGGGCTCGCGGCAGCGGGCTGGCGGGGGACAACGGCGGCGGCATAACTGGCAGGGGTTCTGGCAGGAGTGACGATACGGTTCCGGGAGACTTGCTGTTGGTGTTGGCGGAAGCGGTTATCCAGAGCTTGCAGATGGTTGGCGTAGTCTCTGTATTTCCGGGACGGGGTCGGGCTGTGTAGGAGCATATCCTGAAGTTCGCGAGATATGCCTTGGAACAACAATGGGGTCAGGGCGTCCTCGGGCATCTCTCCTTCCAGGGCCAGGCGTTGAAATTCGGAAAAGAAGGTGCTAAAATCCAGGTTCCTCTGCTTCAGCTGGTATAGCTTATTCTGGGCATTCTGAATACGGTCGGGGTCTCCAAAGGCGTTCTCCAGGTAGGCAAGCATTTCCGGGTAATCGAGGAACTCGGGAACTCCGTAGCGGGTCTTCGGCAGGATCAATTCGTAGGCTTTCCCGGTCAGACGTCCAGCAACATAGGTCAGGCGGGCAGCAGCGGTCGGGAATCGGTCAGCGTTGGCGGTCATCTTGCCATAGGTCTGTTGCGTGAACCGGCGAAGGTCGCTTCGAGAGCCATCGAATTCTTTTGGGTCAGGGATCTTCTCACTGAGATAGGAAGATCCGGAACAGACGGGCGGAACAAGCGTAGTCGGTATCGGTACAGAATCCGCAGGCTGTTCAGCCGGGGGACTTGGGATAGCGGCAGGGACGGGTCGGGGAGTGTGGACAGCGGGCGTGGCGGCATCGAGCAGGCGGAGTTTCTCAACCTCCAGATGGGTAATCTCCTTCTGGAGCAGGGCAGTATCTTCTCGGTGCTGTTGCTTTTGGTATTCGATAATTCCCTCTTGCTTGGCGATGGTCGATCGGAGGGACTGGAGGGAGTTATCGTGGTCAGAGTCGGCGAGGCGGGAGAAATCGTTCTCTTCCTTCAAGGCGGCAGCGTAGCCATTGATATGGCGCAAGTATAACAGCCAGTCGGACGGGTTGTTGGTAACGTGGGCAACGAGCTCTTCTGGAGAGTCCGCTCCCGAAGGCGGTTCAGGCCGCTCCTGGGACATTCTTGCAGTAGATACGGCGCCTATAGGATAGGAGCTACGTAATGTCACGGGCTCCGGTACGGGCAGTATAGGTGATCGTATGACAGTTTATTCTCTACGGTTCTGGCAGGGTTACGGGTAACTCTATTGACAGGACGTAGCTCGAAGAGCTACAATTCGGGTTCGGGCGGGGACAGTGAAGATATTGTCAGTTCTCAGGTCCATATCGGTCCACCCGGGCCGCCCACAGCTGGCGCCCGGGGTCCCTCCACTTCCTGCCCATAGGCAGGGTCCAGCGCCGTGACAGTAGGCCCCTAGAAGGGTCTTCTCTTTTGGTGTCTTTCTGGCTTTCGGTAATACCACTATTGATGCCGTTTTGAACTGCTTCGGCCACTCGCCCAGAATGAACAAGCATTCCGTGACCTCTGCCAGGACTACTCTCAGCGGTTTGTCGCACGCTTTAAGGAATCCTGCTGGCAGAAAGTCCCAGCCTGGGGCCTTCCAGGGCTTCATCAAGTCAAGAACTGCCTTAATGTCCGTCTCGTCTACCTTCCTGCTTATGGCAAACTTCCCTTCAAAAGGGTCTAGTCCAGTGTCGAAATCTTCCGGAATATCGGACAAGTCCGCTGTTGGGGAAGGGAAGAATTTCCCTGATAGGATATCTACCTGCTCGTCGAACTTAGATGTCAGGCCTCCCATTGAGCCGGGTTTCCTTAAGGGCGGGAGCGTTCCCGCCTCTCGTGGTTTGAACCCGCGCAGCCGTGCCGCCCTTTTAAGGTCCCAAAGCTTCTTATTATCTTTGGACGCTGCTGTTGTAAGGTGATATCATGTTTTCGTCTGGGCTTTACTGATGGTCTATTTTTGTACCCGCCTCGCCTTTGCTAGGCCTTCAAAGTCTCAATCTGACCGGGAGGATTGGTAACGTTTTCTTGCCGCTTTCGTATTTGCCATCGCACGACCGACGTCCTCGTTCCACCACTTCTATTCGAACCCGGAATTAGGCTCTTTTTTCTTTGTGGAGGCGTCTGCAATGCCTTGGAGCTGCTCAAGCAGCTTGTCGATATACTCTTCTAGATCCTTGATAGATCCGGCTCCCCCTGGAGGCGCAATCTTCAAGCCTTCGACTTGGACCGTTGTTTTGTCCATTGTCTTCCACGACCAACCTGGCGGGGCCGCGTTTCGTTTCAGTGTCTCGGTGTGAATTCGTACCATCTGTGACAGGTGGTCTGAGCCCTCCCACTCCGGTAGGATCTCCAGCTCTGCCCTCAGGAGTGGGTGGGCCCAGATGAGGTCTATCGTGGAGTCCCTCTGATCATGCCCCATCCTTGTGGTCATTCCCCTTGGTGTCACTAGTTCTAGGTTCATCGTTTGAACAAGCGTTAAAAGTTCCTCGGTCTCTGTACCTCGCGTGGTTCTTCTGTGTGTATCCCATATCGGGTAGTGGAGGTTAATATCGCCTGCTAAGACAACCCTGCCCTCCCACCTCTTGTTAGCAATCGCCTGGAACGGGGGTGCGCGGTTCCCGCTTGATACCGGCTCATTATATAGCGATATAATATTCAAGACACCTTCCTGCAAGCGGAACGTGACCGCTGCCCAATTATGCCCTATGCGTGCCTGCCATGCCTCCGGGGCGAACTTCTTGTTGATGTACAGCATCGCCCTGCCATGCCCCGAGTAGATCGGTATGTACTTGCAGCTGGCCGGGCAGTGAATGGCATTCTCAGGGCCAATCCATGGCTCCTGGATTGCGATCACGTCCGCCGGTCCCTTTATCTCGTCCTCATCCTCCCCATCCCGGATTGCCAAGGCTATGTTCTGTTTCAAAGCTCCTGCGTTCCACTGTGCCAGGTGTACCGGCATTAAAGGACCGGTTGCTCGGGTGTGTCAACGCTGTTACTCTCGGCCCTATCCTGGGTGCTTGAGATGTCGATTGTCGGGATGTGTGACAGTCCGTTTGGTGCTGCCTTTCTTGCCGCCGAAGTGAAAGAGATTCTGGTTTGCGAGGCGCTGACGTGTATTAGCCGGCCTCTTTTCGGTGTACTTCCGTTCGTGTGATGGTGGCCGCCCTGCTTCCTCTTCTGGACCACCGTGAAGCCGTCCGCTCCTGTCCGGGGCGGCGCTGGGTCTTTCTGGATCTCGAATTGCCGGGGTTGGTATTTGTATGCCTCCTGAGCCGCCTCCTCTCTCTCTCTGTACATGCAGCACCTTTTATCCCACGCCATATGGTTCCCTATATAGTTCCTGCACTTAACTCTTTTCTGGTCGGTGTTTGAAGGGCAGTTAAATTCCCCTCTTTCGTGTGGTGCTCTGGCACACCTGCCACACCTCGGTTTATTTTGGCAGTATTTTGCTGGGTGTCCAAAGTCGTGGCACTTGTAATATTGTTCGACTCAGACGTTCTTTGTGAACAGCTCGCAAGAGTAGATTGCCGCTTTCCACACCAGCCCTTGCTCGCATAGCTTTTGGGCCTCCGTTATGTCATTCACCTGTAGCACTAACGTTGCGTGTCGGTGCTCCGGGTTTCTTGGAAAGATGGGGTGCATTTTTCTGATCTTTGGTGCATGCTGCTGTATCTCCCTTAGAAGCTCTTCCGGCTTTGTGTGAGCCTCCTGCAAAATGCGGTACAGAAGACCTTTCGTTATCACCATGAATTCACAGCTCGACTGTTTTGCTGTTGCCCTAAAGGCCACTCTAATCCACGCTGCTGTCCCCTCCTTGTACTTGTTTGCCGTGTCAAGGAACGTAACCGCGACGTCCCCGCTGGGAAGTCGGCGGGCTGCTACCACTTCCTGTACGCCAATCGCCATGTTCACCACTTGTACCGTTTCGACGGCCGTACTCTTTGTCATCTCTGGGATGCTTCCAGAGTTTCGAATGATGACCTCCCGCTGGATCCGCCCCGGCACAAATACTTTTGGCGTGTTTGTCGCTACGGGTCCGCCTGCCGCAGCCACGTTGGCCCAGGATCGTGGTCATGTTGTCCCTGGTACTGCTTGGGGTGTCTTTGGCATAAAGCGTTGAAATGTTGCTTCGATGGACCTGTTGAGTTCGTCTCGCGTGATTGCTTCGGTGTTTCGGTTTTCTGTCGTAATCATTGCCGTGTTTGCGTTGGCCTCAGTGGCCTTTTGCGCCTCTATAGCTGCATACCTATGGACTATCTGGACGACCTCCTCTAGCGCGCCCTCCTTCACTAGGTTAGCCAAATCTTTCTTCAACGTAGTTTGCTCCTCTACTCCCCCACGCTGCGCCTCGCTCACTGCCGGTATAGTTGCGTTGGTTGCGCTTCGTCCGGCGTTGGGATGGTGCAAACTCTGCTTGAGCCCCGCCCTTCCCTGATTGATGACCATTGGTTCATCCGCACCACCGTCTTGCGCCATTGCTTGGTGATCTTGAAAACCACGCTGCAAGGTCAATTCGGGAGGTAGGAATGCGAATCTTCAAATTATTTGATGTAATAGTGTGTTGTTGCAGAGTTATCCGTGTCCGTTCAATCTCCTCTTAATAATAATGAGTTCTTAAAAAGAAATAAGATTTAAAAAGCGCTTAATATTTTATTTAATATTAAGAAGTAATTATTTAAACTCGCCAATAGCTTCATAAATCCTATAATATACAAGTTAAATAAAACCGTTCAAGCTCTTTACGGTTAATGTCATAATACAGGACCATATCATGCGGTCAAAAATGGAGTGTATTGGTTGCGTGACCTAACTTCGGTCTGTAGGACGAATCTCAGTACTAAATACAGTGCAATCCTGAAGGACTGGCCCATCCTCAGATCTGACTGTTAACGACTCCTTGTCTATCACTGTTGAAAGCCCTTAAATGTGGGCTTTTCATCCCTGAATAGGGCTTTCTGCCCCTTTCTTTCTTCGACCAGCTATTCTGGTCCATTCCAGCTGCCGCGCAGCTGGCGCCGCACCTGCACGACACCTGCAAAGCACCTGTATGCCAGCAGTTAATATATAAAAGTATATATTTAAATTTTATTTACTAATAGTTTTGTACCGGTTAACGTTATGATTAGATTTTAAAATAAGTTATAACCTGAAATCTTTTCGTACATAAAACTTAAATAAGTTAGAGTTAAATCGTTTTATAACTTATTTTAACTAATATATAAAATAAAGCACCTAGTATTTGCTTTTTTATACCTTTTTATTACGATTTAAAAGCCTGTAAATAAATATTAAGATAGTTACCACATTTATTACGGTCTTTTTAAACGATTAATAAACTAAAATAGACTTACGCTTTTCAATACGTTGTAAATAATCAAAACCTTTACTTTATAACATAAACCTTTCGTTATATTGTAAAAATTTTCAATTTTTTAATTTTAATCAAATTTTATGTATTATAATTATAATAAAATAAGTGATATTGAATGTTATTATATTTATATTTTAAAGTTTAAAAAGTTATAAATATAATTCTTTTATCATAATAGTCTATTGTTACAAACCAACAAACAATGCGGCCTGATAACAGGCCGAGAAGAGACGATTGGAAACAGGTTGTCTAGTGAGTGGGGTGCCGACTAGCGGAGAAATCGGAGTAACGGTATACAGATCACGTGAACAGCAGAAACTGGGTTACGTGACTAAGAATTTAGATCACTGGATCACCATGGTGAGCCAGTGAGCAGGATCACCTTGGATCATCGGTGATCCAGGGTGAGCCACCTAATCAGTGGGGGAGAGATTGGATATATAAGGATAGATATTTCCTAGCTAGACAGACAGACAGTCTCTGCCTCAGTGATCAATCTAAGCATCTTAGCCAACCCTAAGGTGGGAGAAATCTCCTGACGACTCGACTATTCAGTGATCCCCCATATCAGACCAAACCCCAGCATCTGAATTTCTTCTAGTTGACAGAAGCCTCTATTATCCTTTTTGTTGACTTACCTCAGAACATAAACCTTTCATGACCCTTTAGCCTTATAGGTTAGACGGCTCGTCACATTTATAAGTTGTAGCAATGTTTTAAGGTTATATATTATAATTAATAATAAAATAGGTTATCATTTATCAATTTACTTTAAAAAACGCTTACAATGTTAATATAGAACTTTAATTAAATATCCGTATAAATAAACAATAAAACACCTAGAATGAATATGTGAGTTTAAACGTTAATTATAATATTATCTATTATAATAAAATTAAGGTTGAGAATCAAGTTTTTTTATTCAATCTTGGACCATGCTTTAAACGTTTTCATTATAACAGATTTATTTTATTTAGTTATTGTTTAAACTTGATATAAACAATTAATATAAATAGTAATGGAGAAGTCGCTGCCTGCTCCGCCGGGTTTAGCGGTACGCCCGACTTGGCATGGCGTCTTATCTGCCTTGTGCCAGCTCGCGCACTTGCACAGTCCAGTCTGCCGCATCTCATAAGTACGGACGGCGCCCGTGACGTCCCTTTCTGGGTACTTTTTACATTCCCTCCTTCCGCTCCCGCCCTCGGTCCTGTGGGTCTTGGTTTCACAGCCGTTCAGTTCCACGCCACCTGCTGTTGCCTAGATGCTTGACTCACAGCTGAGTCTGAAAATGACTTTTGCTACTTTGGGAATCTGCGAAGCTGCCCACTTCGACACCCATCTTGACACCTATATAGTGGCTTTCGCCACCTCGGCTGTTGATTATTATCCATCGTTTGCTGGAGCTTAAATACCTCTCTTCCCAAGCCATAGAGTTAAGAATGTCTGGGTAAAGGCCAAAACTCTGCCAGATAATTTCATCAGGTACTGGATGCTGTGCGGAGTGCTCAGGGAACTACGTCAGGGGGAAGTACACCCATCCTTTAGTAGTCTGTAGCATGCGCAAAACAGGTCCTTGACGGCAAGGAGGTAATCAGTCCTTACGTATGGTTCAAGAATTCGATGTGGAAGCCCGAACAAGGACTGAGCGAGGCATTACGGCCCTCCACACTGGGCGCTTATTTGGCTCAAACATTTCTTTCTCGCCAATGTAATTAGACTGTTGCAAAAACCCAGCCATTTCATGCAGATAAACAGAATACATCAGCTGATAAATCTTGACTCTTGATTATTATTGTATGCCTCTGAGTTGGCTGAATGAGGCAGGTGCTCTCATACTCTGTCGCGGCAACTCTGAGGATTGTATGATTGCGGGAGAAGCTATTGGCTAGTGATGATCGCAGCGGATGAGTATGTTCTGGTGATATCTCTTGGCGGTAGTGATCGACAGCACAATCATGTTCAGTGCTCGTGATATTTACGCTCTTGCAGATTATCCACTTGGTATGGGTGTGACTGCTTATATCTCGTTTCAGCTGACGATCAATATCCGTTCTTAGTTATATCAATTTCTACACGCCCCCCAAGCCAACTGTCTCACTGAAATCTGATTCTGTGAGAAAACCGGGTTTCCACGAGTCTACGTGCTCAAGCTCAGAGGGTCATATCCGATATCCCAGTTCGAATGAGACCGAAGAGAGCCATGGCCAGCGAGGCTCAAGCCTGCCTTCTGGATCACGCCTGCTGCCCAGCGACGGACATCCTACATCAGAGAAGACTGCTAATGTCTTCTCAGAAGCTAGGAAACTACCCTAACAGCACACATATGACCAAAAAATCGACATTGAACCTGGCAAAACGGTACCAAGCTCAAAAAAACGACCGATGTCACAATCAGAACTGAAAGTAATGAAGAAATATCTGGATGACAACATGATGTAAGGGGTTCATTCAACCATCACTGTCAAAATCAGCTGCTTCACTCCTGCTGGCACATAAGCGTAATGGTGGCATCCGGGTATGGGTGGACTATAGGGGCTTTAACAATATGACAATTAAGAACCCTACCCTCTTCCGCTAATCAGAGCAATCATCGAACGCCCTATGCACATTAAGAATCTTCACAAAGCTTGACATGATGGCGGCGTTCACCAGGATCCTTATGGCGAAAGGGCATAAGTGGAAACCAGTATCCACGATAAGATTTGGCCTCTACAAGTTTTGGACTATAACGCTTCTTTAACCTTCCAGCATTATATAAATGATACCCTATACAGTTCCTTTAATGAAGTCGTATCTGCGTACTTTGACAATAGTCTCCCTTCTTATCTACTCAGAGAACCTTTTAAGAGTATAAAGAACATGTCAGAAAGGTCCCATTAGCTCTTATTATATAATAATTTATTTAATTAAAGACTTATTTTAAGGCTATAATGTGAAGAACGAATCCCCTGATGAATAGTATATTTGTGGTGTTAGATTAGACAAGTCGGTGACTTATTGATCAGGCGGTGCCGCATCAAGCAGGCGGTACCGCATCGGACAGGCAGTGCCGCATTGGACAGGCAGTGCCGCATCGGGCAGGCGGTAAAGAAAATAGGCAGACAGTATGAGATATCTTCTTTTTTGGATGTCTTGAAAGATAATATGCGCAGGGATTGGATTATAATCGGGAACTGGATCATGGACAGGAACTGGATCATAAGTAGGAACTGGACCACGAACTGGAGGAGGCAGTGGATAGGTGTCCTGTCTTGAATATAATCTCGATTTGGTTTCTATGGCCATAGCGCCAGCTTTGGATCTTTCAAGTCTATACGTGGGTGTTCAACGTGAAGCCCGCAGCCCTTACTTCTTGTCTGTTTACTACAATGCTGGACGCCTATTTACTGCTTCTTCCAGCCCGTGGCCCAGTCTTATAATCCAGTTCCCACCCAGGGGCCGTTTTCTATTCATGATCTAGTTCCCACCCGTGATGCAGTTCCTACGCCGTGGTCCACTTCTTCCTCGTGATTCAATTCACAAGAAACACTGAAAGAGAACAGGGAAATGGCCATACAAGACCTCGAGACTTCTTGCCATTAATAACGTCAGAGCTCTGGTATTTGTTACGGTCATATAGTGGGTCGCTGTACAGAGTAATGCATATAGTACAGAAATAGGAGTCAATAACCATGCGGGTCATTATTAAAGCTTTTGCCTCATGGCGTAATGGTTGTCCTATACGCGTTGTAACAGTATTGCTTTAACTATTCTTCTCAGTTTCTTGTTTAAGCTGGTTCAGAAGGAAGGTCTTTCTAGAACCAGGAAGTCTGTATATGCCGAGGACTACTGTCTCTGTGTTGAGTAGACTTCACTTCTTGCCCGTGATCCATGTCCAGAGTATAATCCAATTCTCGTACATGGTTGATTTACTGGTCATGATATCTTTCAAGACATCCACAATAGGACATGTCACTCACGGCATGCCTATTTCCTTTGCCATCAGCCGAATTGGTACCCCTTGCGTACATCATACTACCTGCGCGGTGTAGCTCCGCATGCCCGATGCAGCACCACTTGATGCAAAACCGCTTTCCCGATGTGACACCGCCTGCTCGATAAGTCACCGCTTTCCCGATGCGACACCACCTGCCCGACGCGACACCACTTTCCCGATATGACACCGCCTGCTCGATAAGTCACGGCTTGCCCGATATCACACCGCTTGCGGCTGGCTATAGCACGCTTATCTTATATCTTATACATTGTGTAGCATAAACCAGACAAAAACAACTATTTTTCTTGGCGCCCCGCTGTTAGGGCACAATCTCAATATCTGCACTAAAGTAGGCACTTCTCTCAATAACTGACTATCTTTGCCAAGACATAAGAGAATTTTTCTTACAAGCCGGATAGCACCCTTCCACAATGGGCCCCCAAATATGCCTGTGACCGTCCCAAAGACGACCACCAGTGACGTGCTCAAATCCCCGGTCCCTAGAAAGACATACGGCCCGGCAACTCCGAGCAGGCTCCGCCAGGCGCTGCTTGACGACATTAGCAGCAGCCCGGCACAGGTCTCTGAGGCTGACTTCACCGTTATTTCCCCTCTGAAAGGAAAATCCCGAAATGTCAATGACAGCAGCACCACTGGAGTGAAACGACCTCAATTGAACGAAATCTCCACAGACCAAGCCATTACATGCGATACAGGGAATAAAGCCTCCTTCTTAAAGTGCCAGGACCAAGTTGCCAAAATACTGGTCATCCTTGCTTCATAGAGGTGCTTATCTTTAGCCAGTATTTTGGCAACTTGGTCCGGGGTTCATGGTCAAGGATTTGACCGGCGAGGTGAAGATGATCGACTTCGAGAAAGTGAAGTTCGGGGCAACGCAGGAAGAATTTGAGAGTGATATAAGACGCATACCGACGCGATTCAAACCCCCCAAGCGGCAGCAGGGCTCGGAAAGAGGAGGAAAATGTGGAGGGGGAAGCTTCTTGGGGGGTTTGTCTGGAAAGAAAAAGAAGTAGGGTATTGAGATGTCCATTACCGCGCGTCGGCGACGTACTAAGGGCTTCAGGTTGTATACTTGCCCCATTGGTTTGCACTTTACATTCCCTTAATGAATTTCCCCCAATATAATTCTTGATGGACTTCTCTCGACGCATGTTACTCAAAAGAAAACCCCGATGGCAAAAAACCTAGCAGTGATGCCCTAGATGATACTGGTACGCCTGTCGAAAGCGTGGTGTGCGATTTTGATGGGGGGTGGTGGGGTGGAAAAGGGGTAAGTCTCATTGTGGGTCTCTGGGTAAGATATTACTACCACCTCACCCCCTTCCTTCCAGCTTGATCAAGATGACGAACAGACTAGACACGCATCTACCAGCACCGAAGGTAAAAGTCCATCCAGTTGGGTACTCTCTCCATAGGAAGAAGCTATCTCTTTCCGCGGCGCAGAACCAACCAAGAGCCACACCATGCATACAACCCTTGGACCAGCGAGATAACAGGCGAGGTGATGCATGCAACCCCTTTACCGTTGTGACACCACCCGCATTGGACGTGGCGATCCGGGTCAGTGCCAATCCAAGGCAAGCCCGGCCTTGGCACATTACACGAACAAGAAACCGAGCATATCTTTTTGAGGCATATAGCTACTGCCAGCTCGTTCTATATACATCGTTAACGCCGGACCTTCACAAGCAGGACATGTCAGCTAATCTGCCGGAATTCCGATGATCTTCTTCACGTCTCGACTCCACGAAGCTCCGTTCCTAGGTAGCTTTACTTATTCGACAAGATGACTGCGAGGTCGACTGACCCGATGACTCGAAGCGTAGATGCCATACTGGACATGCCCAGGGCGCTTGAACCGTTGAAGCCGAGTTCAGATCCACTGTGGTTGGCATTAAGCACATGCGATGGTTTTGCTCGATATCATATGGTAGTAACAAGGCGAAGCGAGCAAGATCTGAGATTCGCAGCTCATACGGATTGGATCAATATGGATGTTGAGGCAGGCAGGACCCCACCATCTCGATCGTCTCTTGCTGAAGATTCCCATGGGGTCTGGCAGATTGGTACGATCATTGTTACATGGTTCGGTAAAGGTGGTATTGGGGTTGTCGAGGTCGCTTGAGGTGTCTACTTAAATACCTACCTATTTGCTGTCCCACAGGCACTTTTAGATTTGGTATCGATCACCCCAATCCTGACCAGATAGTTATGTACACCCAAAACCATCCCGTCCATGTTTCCAAGCCTCATGTGAAGTGTGTACTGAAGCTGCGCGTAAGTGAACGGCTCGACTGCCCATGGGTACGCTTACCATAAGTTCCTCGAACAATTCGTTGAACGTTGAATCCAAGCCGTTTGCCGTCATCCGCACCACGCATGGCTCCTCCATTGACTGCCTCCAATGCTGATGGCTTCCTCTTGCTAGCGCGATAGAGTGGTATCCATCTGACTGTATTCTTGAAGGCGGAAGGCTGTGATACCTCGTATCGTCACACGCAGTTACCCGCCACGCCTCTGTAGTGTACCACCCGAATTATCTACCATCCATTGATGCAAGGGATCCTTCTGCTTGGGCTTGCCACTCAGCCTGTCCCTAATCCTGTCTGAAAGTCTCTTCTTGTCGCTAATGGTACTGGGGGAGTAGCTCCCTGCGATACTTCCCGCATCAGTTTCGGCTGTCTGCTCCGCTTTTGGGCTGGTCGGAGACGTGTACTTCTTGGTTCTCTGGGATAGACTCCGGGATCGAGAGTGGTTTGCGCCACGCGTCGGTGAGAGGCTTCTTAAGAGCTTTGATTCCTGAATGCAGTTGTTAGCGACCATAGGTAAGATGCAACGTGCGGAAAGGCGCAGGCGGCGCTGCATACTCACCTCTCTAGCGTGCCTCACGGACTCCAATACCTTTTCCTTGGCTCGCAGCCAGTGGTCCTGCGGATCCTGTGGCCTACCCGCCTCTTCATTCGCGATCTCAAGGGCTTTTTCCTTTGCTCGCATCCATTGATCTTGTGCAGCATTTGGTATGCTGGGTTCCTCGGATTCCGTTGGGACAAAGCTATATCGTTTGGTTTTGGGCACCGGTGGTGTGCGTGGGCTCATGAACCAATCCACTTGTTCGGCGATTCTGTCAAGACGTCTGCCCTCTTGGCCCGATGGGCTCTGAGTTTGGTTGGTCTGGTCGCCCATGTTTCATTCGCAAAGCCTTGCGACTTGAGTGAGATGCGATGCGACGTGATGTAGAAGACAGTAGGAACGCACAAGAAAAATTTGCCGGTGCTGGGTAGGTAGATGGCGAGGGGTGTGCAACGAAAGAGCGTGCTCGCAGACCGAGGCGCTGGAAATGAGGAAGTAAAGTAGCAAGCACGCGCATCGCATTGTGCTCGCAGGTGATTGTTTCCTATAAATGTAAAAGTGAGTCGAGTGATGAGAAGAATGCAAGCTGGATTGATCGATTATGACAATGCGCAACGCTCGAGGAGTCATTGGTGATGTGCTAGTCGAGATCAGGCGGTAAAACAGATGAGCAAACAGACTGAATGCTGAACAAGGCCGATGTTCAGTACGAACACCCAACGCAAGACAAATGTTTGCGACATCAGAATATGTCTGTGCCGAGTCGCCTCCGCCAGTTGGCATATAATAAGTACTCCATTGTTGGTAAATCAGGTCGTCCATAACGGTGCTCATTGTGATCCCGGCGAAGCTACCCACAAAGCACTTGTCCCGTCACGATCTGCTGGTGGGACCTCCCTCCCGAAATAACCTCAAGGTGTTGAGCCTTAAGTATTTTTAATTCGAGTTCCTACTAGGGGGACGTGGTCTCTCGAAGGGGTACAACCCACTTTCCCCTTGAATCAAGGAACGCACGTTGATGGTGCCAATGTTGACCTAGCCCGCGTGATATGCACCGGCTACAAGAGGGTCAGTGAAAGGGCACGGGGTAGGCCACGAGGCACATACTGATTATGCATTCGCAGCTAGTATTGGTCCTTCCGCGAATCTAGTTGTCTTCGTACGAGTCGTCGGACCAGTACTCAAACTGTTCGGGTACCTGTGCTTGCTTGCCACCATCTGAGTCCGGGTCTACCTCGTTCGTCGAGTGCATCTTCGGGGTTGATTCTGGTTCGGGTTGGCCGTCCGCTTCGACAGTTCGTAGCACCTTCGTCATCCGTTGAGCCCATTCCCAAGGACGGCCCTTGCCTCCGGGAAGTCCATTGAAATACTCCCAGCCCATCACACCCCCGAATGTCGGAAAGCGGCGCCGCAGTGCAGCCAGGTTCAGACCCAGAAGCTCCAAGGGGACGTAACCATGCCCGTTTTCGGGGGTTGTCACGACACCGACGACGACCTTCTCCGGCACCCAGCCTCGCGCCACGCACATCTCGTACATGACGGGATTACTGGCGTCTCCCCATCCACAGTAGAATTGAGCGTTGTACCAAGCAATCTGCTTGCCACGCATGACCTCGAGAGCCTCGTAGTCAAAGCCGCTGAGATTCCGCCGTGAATCCAGGAGGGCGGCTGCGACTGGCGCAAGCGTGATGATGAAATCCGGACCGAAGTCTGCGCGCAGTCTGTCAATCAATCGGATGACCCCTCCGAGTGACATCTCCTCCTCGATATCCAGATCGAAGCCGTTGAGTCCTCGGGCGCGTATCAGATCATAGACCGGGGCGTAGTAGAGATCAAAGGTGGTCTGATCTTGGTCGAGTCGCGTGTAGGAACCTTTCGCCGCCCCGCCCAACATGCCTATCACGGAAATGCCGCTGGCTTGCGCAATACGGAGCTCTGCCCATAGTGAGGCGTACCGGGGATCAGAAGGCGGGTGGTCATTCAGCGTCAACCCGTCCGGGTCCTCATTGATGTGAATCGCAGCCACGATGAGGTGCGTGACCGAGACGCCGGGCTGCGTGATCAAAGGCAGGACGGATATGAACTTCCCATCGGGGTCGTGGATTGTCTGATGGTAAAGAACGATACGAGGCAGCGTAGTGGCAGATGCAGATGCAGAAGGCATTATGGAGGATAATGCCCAGCGGACTGCGTCGCTAGCTCAGAACCAACAGACTCGCTGCATCTGGGACCTTGGGATTGATGTTGATGCCGCGAATTGGACAGATGGACAGCCAAATCATCAGCACTGAGATGTTGTGGCCCATTTGCGACTTGACGCCACGCCCCACTGTAAAGCTTACGCCACAAACATCCACCAATTTTTTCGGGATCTAGGGGGCTCACACATGTCACTTCACCCTAACCCTAACCCTAAACATGAATGATTTGTTGAGGTAGTTTCTGAATTGGACAACGGAAACACAACCCTTCCTTCCCCTAGGAGAACGAACTCTACGAACGGATGACAAATGAATCCTCATGCTTACCTCTACAGGCACTTGCATACCAAACAGCGCCTCCTACCACATCGTCGAGTTCGTGGTGGACTTTTCACCCCAGATACCTGTAGGCTTCTGTCAGGGACTCTGTGCCCATGCGGAACAGAGCGACGTGGATGACCTGGAGGCCGTCATGAGGGTCTGCTTCCTGCACCGTCACTGTTAGGTGAGGGATCAAGCTTTCGTAAAGCCCAGGTCAGCGATGCGAAAGACGCGGCAGGGAATGAGCTGTTTGAGAGGTACAGGCTAACAGCGGGCTTCGACTGATCTGCGCTTATAGAGGTAAGTCTTGGGCGTGGAGGGTACCGCTGACACTTTGAAGCTGCTTAAGAGTCACCATTTTGCATTGGCGAAGGTGCTTGACCTTGCCCGGATGCAAGGACAGCATAGAAACGTTGTTGGTTGGCAATGCAAGAGGTGATCGATGTACCCAAGCGTCAATCGATTGTTTTGGTGCTTCATTTGATGGAGTTGCTCCCCATTCCTTGTTGGCCTGCTGCATGTTGGTCGCAGCGAATAAGCTGCATACCACTTGGAACGGGCAACCTTGACCATGGCGAAGCGAGCACACTATTATTAAATCAACTGGATACTTACCTACATAAACAGTGATTTGATTGTGACATTTATTGGCAACAGCTAGCCAGGGAGAATTCCTACAATCGCCTTCATGGACGTCTTATAAATTGCCAAGGCATCTTGCCCCCTGGGTAGGGGCAGTGGTTGTGGGTTCACACGACTGTCCATCGGCACCTCTTGTAGCAGGTCGATCAAGGACGTGGGTAAGCCTGGGTAAGATCTGTGCACTAAGGTTAGACAGGCGTCAAATAGGCTGTGATTTCTTGAAGCATATTGCATGTTGATTAGTGCTAAATGCCCACGACGAGAGATATCTATGGCTGAGGCCTTCTTGCTGCTGTCCTTTTCGCTGATGCCTGATGGAGCTCAGGGGGAGTACACAGTGAGCAACCTAGAATGGCACAGCAAAACACTGTACATACGGAGACACCCGGCCATTCAACCGTCAATGCGTGCGCGCAGCTCCCAATAAATAGCTTCTCTTGTCCGGCTAAGGGAAAAAGACTCTGGGCGTGTCTGCTCCTCGCCCTCCTCCTCGTCGAAATGCTCTCCGTCGACGAAGTCAATGACAGCTCTTATAACCATGATTGCGAGGATCCACACAATGACTACCACGAATTCGAAATCTCCTGTACTGAGTCTATCCCCGTAAGGATGATGGGCTCCCGTTCCAGAAACTGGTGGCCCTTGGCATTTATGGGCGAACTGCTCCACGAACTCCCAGGGGAGCTTGCAGAAGTCGCGTCCAGCCTGTTCGTATCTACGTGGAGTTAACCGACCATCCAGTGTGAAAGTCTCACCACGGCAGTGCTTACTGGTCGCATAAGGTTTGGTTCGTGCTGTGATAATCGCCCTGTAACTTGAGGACCCTTCTGTATGACGTTGCGAATGAGGATTGAGCAGAACGAAGCAGTCGAGGGAGGCATATTCGCCCAGCTGCTGGATTCTAAGGGATTGGTCGCCATGATGGTACTGTGGGTGTGGTTTTTGACTGAAGGGATGTGGAGTAGAGGGAAAAAGATGGGCTCGGTGCTTGTGGCTACCTGTACACTTTATATTAGCTCCTGAGTATCAAAATAGAATGTTGTGATTTAGAGTTCTAGCTTGTGACGGGCCGTCTCTCCACAGGCGTGAAAGCCATGGCTTATGTTAGCTCCATAGTTGAGGTGACCACTAAGTTAGATCGAGTTGCCTTCTAGCGACCTGGGGAACATTCTTCGTAAAGTCGCAAGCACTCATCGAAGCAACAAACCTTCATCCCGAGTGCACTATACACTACACGTAACACTCTCGTCCAGCAGGGAAAGAGTAATTTCATAAAAAGCAGAATAAACACTTTTGAATGAGCATCGAAGATGACTCATTCGACCCAAGCTGCTCATTCCGAGGTGCTCAGCCCACTAATAAACTTTGAGGATGTCCGAGCACTTCATGCGCCATGCAGGACAGAGACCTACCAGGGCTGACTGTACCCTCATACAGAGATTGAGGCCTCATCCGGAGGACTGGAACGCCGTGTAGCAGTTCTCTCACGCGTCCGCTGTCTATTAAAGATGACAGAGTAATCCATTAGTTTGGTTTTCGCAGAATGAAGCGGCAAACTCGGTCTTAGCACACTACGCAAAACTGATATTTCACCTCGGAACCCTGATATTCTTCGCCCCTGTGGGCTTGCCTTATAGGGCAAACCGCCGTGTAGGAGTATTGTCTATGCTTTCTGTCAAATTGCAGCCTTTACTCATCGTGAGTTGCGCTGTCCTCGACATCGAACGTGTCGATGGCCCAACTATAGACCCTCGTCAACCGCCTTCCTGTTACGAACCAACGAGGCGTACAGGGAATGAGGCCCGCTGGCAGGCCCAACAAGATGGACAGTAACTGGAAGAACCCGGGAGAACGCACGGGCTAAGGAAACGCCTAGGTCACGTGATCAAGACATCACGTGATGGATAGCTTGGATAGCGAGGTTATCCAACATATCCAGGATAGCTTGGAGAGCAAGGTTATCCAACATATCCACCCCATCAGTGAGGGAGAGATTGGATATATAAGGATGGACATTTCCTAGCTAGACAGATAGACAGTCTCTACCTCAGTGATCAATCTAAGCATCTTAGCCAACCCTAAGGTGGGAGAAATCTCCTGACGACTCGACTATTCAGTGAACCCAGTTCAGACCAAGCCCCAGTATCTGAGTGTCTTCTAGTTGACAGAAGCCTCTATCGTCTTTTGTGTTGACTTACCTCAGAACATAAACCCTATAGAACCCTTTAGCCTTATAGGTTAGACGGCTCGTCACACTTCCCAATCTCCGCTTACGTTGCCACGACATCTTGCTCTTTGGATGAGGGTCATGGACGTGAATTCCATGACCCTCATCCAGGACCGCTGACGGCTGAAGTTCCCAGATCGAGCCATAGAGCTTCTGAATGGTGAAGCCTATGCTTCCCATGGTATACAAGACCTCAGACCAGGGGGTTTCTCCCGGTTGGCTGGCCTTAGTTGAAGAGAAGAACATTCTTTCCAGTACCGCATGGGCCCTAGCAGTGACTCTGATTCTCTTTGGTATGACTTCTTCGGTGTCCGTGCCTGCAGTAACCTCTGCTGCCGGTGCTGCGTCCCCTCTTGTTTTCTCCTTCTCCTCGGTCTTCGGTATGAGATCTCGCCACGTTGCAGGTTTCTCGGGTTCTTGAATTGCCAGCTTCTTTGGTTCGGTGCTGATCCGACCTTCTGTCATGTTCTGGTTCGTCCTGGGCTCCGGCTCGCTGTCACTTCTCCACTCAGGGGTTTGAAGCGGGGTTGCTTCCGCAATGACCTGGACCGAGTGTGGTGAGATCGTGTCGTGGCTCGTGTAGTCTTTCATCCAACTGGACCAGAAAGTGTCCAGATTTTGCTCTGCTGCCCGAAGTTGACCGACGTTGTCCTTCGTTCTCTTCTTCCCCGGGCTGTACTCAAAACGCCGGTCTCTCGGTACGGAGAGTTCTGCGACGCTTTCCCATAGTCTCTTATCTTTGATGCGTGAAACGAACCGAAGATCATGTCGCACGGCTGCAATCACGCCATCCCTAGAAGACTCAAGGCTTTCAGCATCCCGAGACACCGATGTCCGAACTTCCTCGATCTGTTGTAGCAGTTCGGCCAATATGGCAAGCTGGCCAATGAGACGCTGCATGGAGCCTGTCAGAAACTTCCTCCCTGCTCGGTCTGTAGACATGGTATGCTCGATCTCGTCAAGGAATACTGGCAACCCGAACATTGCCCGAAAGCCATCATCCAGCATGTCATCCATCAGCCTGATAAACCCAGAGCGAGAGCTGTCGGTATGGAGACCACTTCCTCCTTCCACCTGGATAACGCCGCCGCTGATTAGCCCCGTTCGTTCGTAGTAGGATCGCATTGGAGGGGACGCGAATAGTTGCTCCGAAAACAACCCGAGCTTGTGACGTGTCAAGGTAGTCGCAAGCTTATATAAGATCGATAGGTCTTCTACCAAGCCCAGTGAGACCGGGTTGCGCACCTCCAGCAGCTCCATAGTGCAACTGATCCGTCGTTCCAATGCGGACCAACGCTCGAGGTCCGCCATTGCATCGGCCAAATGTTCGGTGACTATCATTTTCCAAAATCTCCCCCCGTCCTCCGCATGGACTAGGTGATGTACATCACCAGCTTCGTCTCGGATAACCTCTCACATGTGCTCCTTTGCTTCTAAGAGGAAAGACAAGAAGGCGTCTGGGTCTTCCTTCAGGTCTTTAATGAGATCCTTCGTTTCGTCCACGGTAGCCTTGATACTGTCAACCACTGGCTGCAAATCCGCAATGCCTGGCACCCGGTAGGGCCTCTGGAGTCTCCTGTCTAGCCATGAGTGGTGGTTATCATGGGGCTCGACAACTGGGCTCGTGTCTCGATCGCCCGTACCATTTGCACCAAACAACCGTTCCTCGGGGAAATCGTGCAGAACAAGCCGGCAAAGGATTACGAGGAAAGCGTAGAGTTTCTGTTGAACTTGCACCACGATACTTGGTTGCTCATGGTCTCCATGTTCCTCTTTCTCCGTCTGCAGCAGCTTGGTGTGATAATCCGCGGCCGTAATAGGAAAAGGTAGTTTCGTCAAGCCATGATCGAGTGGCGTTGTGTCGTACCCAAGTATCGCACCCATTCTGCCGATCAATGTGCTGTCGTAATCTTTCTTCGCAAAAGCGCCTGGGCTCATTTGGCTCCTCGAAGCAAGCAGTACCATGCCCCACCCCCTAACGGGACACACCCCCCACCGGGACAGCCAAACCCCACCATCACCACCAGAATACCCCCTTACTCACTTACACGCAATTGAGGCTGTAGATGCCCAAAGAAATCAACAAAATTATCATTCTGTGGTGTTGAGGCTCCTCAATCCACGTATCTAGCTGGCGCCCTAATTGACTGACCGCTTCTCGTCACCTGGGGCTCTGCAACAGGGGCTTCTTCACCCTCCTCAGCCTCCTCAACCTCTTCCTCCTCCTCATCCTTATCTTTAACAACCTCTGGCTCTGCTTCTGACTCTGAAGACTCTATAATCACGGCCCTTAACTGGTCACCCCCCTGGGCCAATATCTCGGTCATATTCATGAACTTCCGGTTCAGATTTGGGACCTTCTTCCTTTTCTTGGGCCGTAGCCGCTCTAGTTCAGCCTCCAGGGCCTTGATCTTATGATCTTTTAGGGCCAGCTCCGTCTCCTGGTTCTCGAAGGTGTGGGAGATCTTCCTGAATTTCAGCTGAGTGGCTGGGGAGCGGTTCTTTGCGAAATCTATGATCTGTCGGCTTGTGGTAGGGGTCCGCTGGTCTTCTGGCTCCGAGTCTTTAACTTCCTCTGGCTCCTGGGTCTTTCTTTTATCTTCCTGGATTTCCGGGTTTGTTTTGTTTTGTTTTTGTTTTGTATTTAACGTGGGGGTAGCTCCTCAGTAGTGCAAACCACGCCTCCCAGAGCCTCTGCATCGCAGGGTTGTGGAGGTCTCAAGATAATAAGTACAGTCAGTCCCGCTCACGGGCCCATCCCCGTTGTTGCGGCGGTATGACCTTGGGGTCATCCATCTGGTCCTTCAAGGAAGGCTATCTATCGGGGGCAGATTGTTGAAAAGAACTTGCTCTTCTCCACGAATTTTGCCCATTCTGTGCTCCTCTCCCCTAAGTATTGTAAACAAGCTGCCCTAGGCGAATGCCTAGGCAGTAGCCGATTTTTCCCCAGCCTCTTACAAAAGAAAATGTGTTGTGGTGTTTTCTTCTCACCACAGCTGCAGTGATCATTTGAATCTGTGTGCCCAAAGCGTTCATGGTATCTGGCAAAGTCGCCATGTCCAGATCTGGCCGCTAGAAGTCTGTGTAAAGTACTCCTCTTAAAAGATATAAGGTCTCTTTCAGTTACTGCATGTGAGTATACTTCTTGATACCTAGATTCTGATTGGTCTTTCCACCATTGGTTGAACTCTTTCTTGCCCTGTCTTTTGAGATCTCTCTTGACCCAAGAGATTGTAGGAAGATTTATTGTGTCTGTTTCCAGCATGGCACCCTCTTTTGCTAGTGTGTCGGCAGCTTCGTTGCCATCAATATCTCTGTGTCCAGGAATCCATTTGACGGTCACTCCAGGAGTGTGTGCTGTGGCAAGTTCTTGAAATCGTAGAAAAATGTTTTGTGATGTCTCGGGTGGAGTCCCATTGAGCCCATCTACCACTGACGTGTTGTCTAGGCAGACATATAGCTGTTTTCCGTGTCCAATTGCCCTGGCTGCTGCAAGACCTTGGAGAGCACCATGGACTTCAGCATCTACTACTTCTGCTTGTAGAAGTCTGCCCCTTCCCCGGTATACTTCTTGTGTAGTGCCGCCTTTCCTGATGGTATAACCCCATCCAGTGCGGATTGTGCCTTGGTCATCCAACTGTGATCCATCTGAGTAGATGACAAGGTCAGTGTTCACGTTTCTCTCTTGTAACC